CGAAATTTGTTTAAAATGTTCATTTTCATGATGCAGAAATACGTACGCAATAACATAAATATTTCCTCTTAGAAACTGAGAGCCTCATAGGTTTTTTTGTGCGATAAATGTGTGAGTCTAGTTTACCGATACAGTACTTCTTTATTTTCAGTGTTCTGATCTATTTTTGAATTACCTATCGAATTCAGGAAGTCGTAAAGCAAGCACGAATATGAACTGTTACTTCTTTATTAAAAATATAATCTTTGCTTGGAGTATTACTTTTCTTTTTAGCTTCGTTTTCGATCTTGGGTGTCAATAAAACCAGGAATGAGCCTGGGAAAGCAGATGAATATGTCTGGAATTTGAAATTTTAAGGGCATGTAACTGCATGTTAGTGAGGACAAATGTTGCCAATGTAATTTGATGTCAAGTGCCAATAAATGAAACACAATAATTAGTCCAGGACAGGACCAGGAATTCCTTTTAGGAATTCCTAGTTTAAAGGGATAAGTGTATTTCACAAAGTATAACTGAATAAACAACTCAACATACTCAACTTGCAGGAATAACTGGAATAACTTGAGTAACACAGTTGAACTGAACTGATGATTATTTTGAGAAGAGCAGCTTATATACTACTAGTAATTATTGCAGATTTTAAGCTGCATTAAAAATATTCCAGATGCAAGAGACATCTGAGTGCTGAGGCAGTTACCCAGCCTCCAACGGAATTTAATTTTAAAAGTACAAAACTAAATTATGGCTGCAGAAAAATAAGAGAAGCTGGAGCATCCTCACACCTTGGATGTTAAAAGAGGACTCTTATTATTGTCTCTGATCACAGGTTTCATGAAGACAACAATCACACACACAATCAGCAAATTCTATCTCGCATTGTGCAATAAAAACTCGCTTTCAAGAAGAAATAAAATCAGCAAAGAAAAGATGCTTTGCCTATGGCGCAATTCCTGACGCGCAAACTTCCGAAGCAAATAACTCCGCGAATTTAACACTTAAAAAATTCCACAACATCTTAAATTGAAGCCAAAGATGTTCTTCAACGTTTCTTGTATCAAATAAAAATTTACCCGATTGACAGATCTTGAGATATTCTCACTTTTCTAAACTTAACTTTTCTTTGGTGATAAGAATCTGGAAAACCTTCATGCCAGATTCTTATCTCACTGATGCACAAGCTTTTGGTAAAAACAGTGACTTCAAAAGCCTTGTTTCTAAATGTAGATTAATGAATTTATTTCTGCAACAAGTAATATTTAAACTTCAATAGGTTTTACTTCCAGAATCAGAGTAGAAAAGATATGGTCAAGGATGCTGCTGGGCCAGGATGTTCCAGGCACTGCAATTTTGCGGAGGGGCATTATTTCGTACTCCTTGGAATTGATTAGAGTATATTAATTTACATGGCGCGCACGCCCAACACATGGCAAAGCAAGAAAAAAGTTTTGTTGTACCTGTGTGTCGTGTTCCCGGGGAATGAAACGAAAAATTCTTACCAGTCATCCCTGAACCTTTTTAAAATTCCCCCGAGATTCAGATGAACTTGAGTAGATAAAATATTCCTTGCAACCGCGAAGGATCCGTTGGGAGAACAAAACCAGTTGGTACAAGGCTCGGTTGATTACAAAAAATGTGTGTCACTATGCCAGTTCATTCTTCGCCTGGTCTGTGCTATATACTGCCTGGAAACCAGATGTTCCTGAAAATACTGTACTTGCTAATCAATAATGCTGGAAAATAATTGATTATTATGATTTTCCCGTCGTGGCGGAAGCGGTGCATTTTCCCCCTCCAAGGTTTATTCATCATACGAGAAGGTTTGATTTCCTCACACGCAACTTCGCGTGATTGTAGAGGGTTTTAGCTAGTGTCATTGATTGCCCGGAGGTTTGTTCTTAATGTGGCACAACCACTATAATTTTGAAGCATTTGGGGTGTCTGTCGTTCCGCTAAATGAATGTAAGAAAGGTCGATTTGCCTGCCAGTCGAGGGGTCGGGTTCCATTCCATAAAATTATAAGAGAAATTAAAGAAAAATTGAATTTCTGTTCAACTCCCGAAACACAATATTTTAAATAATAACAATCATCCATCGCGTCCGAAATTGAATAAATTAAAAAGCTGGAATCCGAAGCAATACAATGCCGAAAACTATATAATTAATAGAATACCGTGCTTCCCCGAAATCAACACACGCAGAAGTTTGAGAAATTTTACACAAACCGATTTATTTTTGCGGAGAATGTCAGGAATTCCAGGATCAGACTGAATAACATGCGTACATTTTTTTCCTTATCGTCAAAACATTGTTTGAGGGTTTGTGCACATCCCTTTCTTGGAGCAATTTGAAATTCAAGCTGATGTCATATCCTCGCTTGCTTCCCCAGGGTTTGAATTCGAATTCATATCCAGAAAAGATTTGTAATGATTACACGCATCAAGTTTTTTTCTCTCAAAAATTATTGGGTGTTGATAATAGAGCACGTATCAATTTGCTATTTGCACAAATTTAAAAAACGATTTCCTACCATCAGCCTTGACATTCTTCCTGCCAGACGAAGAGTCGGGTTCTATTCCAGTTATCCGGAAAAGATATGTAATGATTACGTGAGTCAAGGTTTTTTCCGAAAGTTATTGGATTTGGAGAATATAAAAAGTGTTTATCCGTTATTTGAACTCATTTTAAAAGTGATTTGCTGTCATCAGCGATGAAGTTTTTCCTCGTTTGAACAGAAATGGAATTCCTCGAATCAAGGTATCCAGCAATTGAATTTTTAAAAATTTTACAATATTTTTAAAGCTGGTCAGTCTCGGCGAAAATTGAATTTGAAGAAGTGTCAAGCATCTCCCTTTAAAGCTCCTCTTCATCAGCGGTATGAGCTAGTAAAATCGCATGTGCTCAAGCCAATATTGTAACAAGAAAGACTCAAAAATCAATGCCTAAATCAATCGAAATTTGTTTAAAATGTTCATTTTCATGATGCAGAAATACGTACGCAATAACATAAATATTTCCTCTTAGAAACTGAGAGCCTCATAGGTTTTTTTGTGCGATAAATGTGTGAGTCTAGTTTACCGATACAGTACTTCTTTATTTTCAGTGTTCTGATCTATTTTTGAATTACCTATCGAATTCAGGAAGTCGTAAAGCAAGCACGAATATGAACTGTTACTTCTCTATTAAAAATATAATCTTTGCTTGGAGTATTACTTTTCTTTTTAGCTTCGTTTTCGATCTTGGGTGTCAATAAAACCAGGAATGAGCCTGGGAAAGCAGATGAATATGTCTGGAATTTGAAATTTTAAGGGCATGTAACTGCATGTTAGTGAGGACAAATGTTGCCAATGTAATTTGATGTCAAGTGCCAATAAATGAAACACAATAATTAGTCCAGGACAGGACCAGGAATTCCTTTTAGGAATTCCTAGTTTAAAGGGATAAGTGTATTTCACAAAGTATAACTGAATAAACAACTCAACATACTCAACTTGCAGGAATAACTGGAATAACTTGAGTAACACAGTTGAACTGAACTGATGATTATTTTGAGAAGAGCAGCTTATATACTACTAGTAATTATTGCAGATTTTAAGCTGCATTAAAAATATTCCAGATGCAAGAGACATCTGAGTGCTGAGGCAGTTACCCAGCCTCCAACGGAATTTAATTTTAAAAGTACAAAACTAAATTATGGCTGCAGAAAAATAAGAGAAGCTGGAGCATCCTCACACCTTGGATGTTAAAAGAGGACTCTTATTATTGTCTCTGATCACAGGTTTCATGAAGACAACAATCACACACACAATCAGCAAATTCTATCTCGCATTGTGCAATAAACACTCGCTTTCAAAAAGAAATAAAATCAGCAAAGGAAAGATGCTTTGCCTAAGGCGCAATTCCCGACGCGCAAACTTCCGAAGCAAATAACTCCGCGAATTAAACACTTAGAAAATTCCACAACATCTTAAATTGAAGCCAAAGATGTTCTTCAACTCTTCTTGTATCATATAAAAATTTACCCGATTGACAGATCTTGAGATATTCTCACTTTTCTAAACCTAACTTTTCTTCGGTGATAAGAATCTGGAAAACCTTCATGCCCGATTCTTATCTCACTGATGCACAAGCTTTTGGTGCAAACAGTGACTTCAAAAGCCTTGTTTCTAAATGTAGATTAATGAATTTATTTCTGCAACAAGTAATATTTAACCTTCAATAGGTTTTACTTCCAGAATCAGAGTAGAAAAGATATGGTCAAGGATGCTGCTGAGCCAGGATGTTCCTGGCACTGCAATTTTGCGGAGGGGTATTATTTCGTACTCCTTGGAATTGATTAGAGTATATTAATTTACATGGCGCGCACGCCCAACACATGGCAAAGCAAGAAAAAAGTTTTGTTGTACCTGTGTGTCATGTTCCCGGGGAATGAAACGAAAAATTCTCTGGTCAGTAGGGACTTGGAAAAATTTTAAGGGGGCTCTAAGTCTACTTGAACTCATCTATTTTATAAGGAACGTTGGCGCTTCCTAGGCAACCCTCTTGTTTTGGTCAACCATGTTCCGAGCCAACTTAATATCAGTTCATTTATGCTTCAGAGTGGAAAAAGAACCAGTGATTGGGGTTTGGTTTCGCGACTCAGGACATCAAGTCTCGTACACATTGATAATTAATGCTACCGAATTTCACTCGAAACATGAATGCATTCAGGTGGGCCAACTATGAATGCATTTTAATCATTTATATTGTAAAATGTAAACAGTAAAAGCGCTCTTTCAGAACCCTGAGTAAGTATAAAGAATTTAGAAGTTCTTATGTAAATGTATAAAACAAAATGAGCATTGTCAAAGCTTCAGGACTAAATAGACTTAATAACCCCTAAAATCGAACTGCATGTTGTTTAATTGTTTTTTTTTACATTAATCGTAACAGATTCTATGCTTCCAATGTTCGTCTCGATTATTTGGTGAACTCAAAAAATTGTCAGACGAGTTAATTTGAAAATGAAGCTACAAACCGTTGTTTTCGGAGGTTTGCTATTTAATTATGAATGCTGGCTGGCTGTAAAGGATAATTACCACGTCAGAAATTCGAAGGAAAGGAATGGGTCTCCGTATATTATTTTCTGATGTCATCAACAGGGGAAGGCGTGTTGCTAATTATCATACTTTATGTTTTAGTGTTTTTTTTTAACTTTTCCCAAGTGAACATGGAAAAAACAAGTTGCTCACGATAGTTTTTTTTAAATTATAAATGTAAATTTATTTTATAAAAATTTAGAAAACTTTTCATATTGCTTAGATTATCAACACTTCAATTTTGGCGCTGTAAAACACTTGCTTTGTCGTCGAAATTATGAATTATTTCCATGGTTCAGGATGTTTTTCAGGATTTTCTGAAATTTTCTTGGAACTTTTAAATCTATTATTGAATGTAACGAAGAGGAACGATTCCGATGACGGCGGGAGGTAGCTTTTCAGTTAACTAAAGAACGCCGCAAATACGTCTTTTTGATCTTTCAAAAATATATTAAAAGATTGAGGATGTTAAAAAAGGCTTCTGAACTTATAACGTCAACTAATCGACCTTCTAATAAAACAACTCTTGGCTACGGAAGCGTTCAAGGAAGCGCTGACGTTGTTTTAAAGTCCGGAGTTTCTGTGAAATGTAAGAAGTACAAACTTTTAAATTGAATGAATGTACTTCCAATTCTGTGTGGAATACTCAGACCGACAAACGCGGATGTGTCTCTATTCGATTCACAAGAAAATGTCTGCTCTCCTATTTTATCTTCAGTATTACTGATTCAGGTGACTTACTTCCAAGAAATCGTTATGCCTTATTTTTTCCCCCCATCTTAAGAGAGAACTTGTGCTGGAGCATTTCGAAGATAAAAATGTATTTCCTGGACTCTAGTTTCGAATCCCATCTGACTATTTATGATTGAATGGGTATCTATGATTTTTTTTATGGACGTGAGAATGTTGAAGCGTTTTTGTGTAGGCGTCAGAAGCATTTATCCTGTCCCTGACGACGTGCTTTTATTAGAACAACTGAGCGCTGGGCATCTGAGCTGCGGGAACAACTGGATGTCAGATAATTGGTGTAGAATTAATTAAATCAAATATATTTAGCGGTTATTATTTTATTACTAAGTTTTTATTTTTACTAAGTGTATACGTTTGGAACGACTGAGACGTTGGAGCCGTAGTCAGGCGGGTTTTCAAGAGAATACAGACTCTCAAATTATTATCTGTGACGATTTTCTTTGTACAACGATTTTTGTTCCGTAGCTTGGATTTCGCCGAATTTATGGAGGTTCTTTATTAGAAAATTATCTGTGCAATGATTTTTTTTTCTGGTCTCGTGAATTTTGTTTGAAAGTCCACCTGTATTTTGAGGGTTTGGTCCGAATCAGTAATACTGTACTGTAGATAAAGATATGAAACGTTTTTCTTATGAATCGAATAGAGACATGCGAATTTTCCGTCTGTGTATTCCGCATAGAAGTGGACGGTCATTAATTTCATTTGAAATTTTGTATTTTCACAATTTTACAGAAACTACAGACTTTTAAAACAATATCAGCATTTTCTCAAACGCTTCCCATTGGTTATCAACAAATGCATTTTCTAGCCAATTAACTGCACTACTGTACTTGAATCTTTGGAAAACAATGTTCAAAAATTATAAAATTGAAAAACCGTATATAGTCTATATACAATATTTGTTGCTCTGGTTGGATAAACGGCGCAAGAAATTAGCTTGAAAGTTGACTTGCAGCATTGCCAGAATTTGTCCTCTTTGCCATAATGAATTTTAGATTATAAACAAGTTCTAAGAATAGTTTAAGAAAATTCTGGAAAACCTCTGTGAACCATGGAAATACAGTAATTCAGAATTGCGACGACGCGGCGAGTAGCGTCTAGCATCGAAACCTATTTGCAACATGAAACGTTTTCTCGAATTGTTATCGGAGGAAATGAACGGGTGAAAATAAAACCAATCATGAGCAAATTAATTTTTGCACAAGAACGGCACAAGAAATTGTAAACGGTCAGCTGCCTAATTGTGTGTGTCATCACCGGAATCGTTCGGCGCTCAGTTGTCTGACCCTTGGTTTCTCTCGTTTATACTGGCTCAATCATGACGAGGCGCTCAGTTGGCCCCCTCGCACTTTTGCAGTATTGCATATTTTAAAAACGTGACCGTCGTGTCATATTTTCGGGTTTTTTTTGTTGTTGCAGGGATCGGCATGGACGACACGTTCCTCATGTTGGCAGCGTGGCGGAAGACGAGCGTTCATGCGTCAGTGGAGCACAGAGTGCAGGAGACCTACGCCGAGGCCGCGGTGTCGATGACGATCACGTCACTCACCAACGTTCTGAGCTTCCTGATCGGAGCCACTTCGTCGTTCCGTGTTCTCAACATCTTTTGCATGTACTCAGGTACCGCATTCTTCGACCTAAACCCACGCATATGCACCCAAAACAAAAACAAAAACAAAAAACCGTACGTGTTGAAATGTATTTACTTTTGAACCTCAATACCTCGGAACTTCTTGAAGTCGAATACCTCCCTGATGTCGAATTTATTTAAATTACCTCTATGAATTCTCATAAAAACAATGCATTAGAAGCCTCCCAAACTCGAAGACTTTTCCCTCTCGAACCTCTGTTACTCGAATTTTTATCGACACAGGAAAGAGACAAGTATTGAAAATGTAACTTGCTGTGTTTTGAGAGGAAGTGAAGAAATAAAAATCTGTCAAATGATCCCTTGCCTCCAAGTTCAGCTTCCTGTCAACTGATATGAAGAAGAAATTCGAGGCATAGGTACAAATTTAAAAATGCTTTTTCTGATTAAAATGTAAAACGCGTTTTATAATAGAAATGTAAAAATGTGCTTTATAATAAACATGGAAAACTGCGTTTTGTAATAAAAATTTATAGATCCGCGTTGTAATGAAAAATTAAAAATGCGTTTTGTAATAAAAATTTTAAAATCCGTTTTGTAATACATATTTAAAAATGAGTTTTGTGATAAAAATTTGGAAAGGCGTTTTATGATAAAATTTTAAATTTTTGCATTTTGAAAGGAAGTGAAAGACTAACTGGGCAAATAAACCCTTGCCTCCAAGATCAGCATCCTGTCAACGCATCCAAGAAACAATTTAAGGTCGGGAAATTACCAATTAGAATTTCCTGCAATTTCTCTTTCTTTTTCCCGAACAAAAATGCTTGCTTCCCCAACACAAGTTGTTTTTTCGTCCCTTAAAGCTTGACTTGAAGAGCTTCAACTGTACTTATTTTCAACTTCATGGAAGTGTTAATCTGGCGGTTGATGTGATTTGGATCGGATCCGCTTAGCATCCGGCAACTTTGAGCGCAATACTGGGAAGCAATTAGCAGATAATAAAGTACAATCGGTTGAGATTACGTACAATCAGTTTGATGTTGGAGTCGCTTTAGCGTGAGATGCTATGAAGTAGTAAATGTGTCGTATACACTGTCGGACAATGCACCGAGTCATTTGATGAGTCGAGATGATCATTGCTTGAGTAGTTTCCGGTAAACATTATTCAGCTTTTAATGGATCATATTTCTTGTGGTATTCTAGGTGGAATGCGTCTATTATTGTCGGCTGAACCTCGTGTTTATCGCGAGAGGAAAATAATTTGAAAATGATGGGCGATCAATCTGAGTATATTTATGATTGCTCAGGAGAGAGGCTCGATTAATCGCCCTTTAAAGTTCTTAAATCTAAAAACACTCTTAATACTCAGCTTAAAATGCTTCTTTTGCAACGCAAGCTTCGTAAATAAACGCAAATAGTAGATGTACAAAATGAGGCTTAGCAGTGCTTATTTTTTTTTTCGAAATATTTTGGTTAAACGTTTTTGTGGACTCTTATAGAAGCTGTGTGACAACTTTTAAAAATACGAGTACTGTACCGAGATAAGTCAAATCAAGAATAAAAAAAACTATACTCTACTTAAATATTATGTAAGTTAATCATAATTTTATTTTTCCAAAATAGGACCGTAATTTCAATTGAAAAATGGTAGTCGACCGTATCATCGTCGGACTAAAATACTTCGATCATTGCTACGTCACAGAAACGTTTCCCTGTTCACTAGGAAAAAGCAAATCTTAGTTTCTGAAATATTGCCGGCATGTGCAAATGGATTCACAGTATTACCTGGCATTACTGCAGAAAATGGTTTCATTTCTTTTGAACAACCACGAGTAATTCTTTAGTGTAAAATTTCCACCGAGGGTCTTTGACCCAAGACGCATAATTTAATGGTGATGAGGCGGCAAATCCTGAACGTGGCTTGAATGACTTTGGAGCCTTGAATATATTATCTTCATTCTACCGTGAACCCTTGAGTCCCGTCGTGTCATGTCGTGTCTCCTCTATGATGTTCCACCCGAGAAAACCTAGAAGAAGTTGTGAAACCCCCGGTGGTGGGATGAACACCTAAACAAAATTCGCGTAAATTTAATTATTCTGTCTGGGATTCTGGAAACATGTTGATGAAGATTGGTTCTGAAGGACGAGATGTGAGACATGGGGACGTCTTTGTGTTGTCTTTTTTTTTAAAATGTCATTGAGTGTTTTAAAATGTCCAGAGAGCCATCAAAGAAGTTGTATTGCAGCTGGATGAAACCTGGTTTTCCCTTTTTCAAGTCTTATGTTCTTCATTTGTAAATCTCATCACGAACGGGTGAAGTTGACTCAGGGTTGTAAAGGATTTGAAAGAACCGTTGACTATAACGCATCGGGAACATCCTGAAATTATTTTAACATTTAGATTTTAAGTTATCATCATGCAATTCGAACTGAAATTCGACTGTTTATTGCTATATTAACACCATTTCAATTTTATGGCATCATCATCATGAAATTAATGAAAAAATCGTAAGTTGCCTGAATTACCTTTTCAGGTCTACTTGTGTTGAGAAAATCGTTCTGCATATCTTCTGTTTCTTCGTCGCACTGGAAAATAAAACGTCGCTTATGCGTGATTAATTTATTTTGACTTTTTTGGGCGGAATTCAATTATACGAGGAATGCCCAAAATTATTGGCAAATTTTTCAGGTGCATTTATTTTAATTCTTTTGTAGATTTGAAGATTGCATGCGTGACGTCATGCAATCCAGAAAAATCGTTTTTTATTCTAGTTTTGTCCCTTGGAGATGTTTGAAATGTTCTCTAGGCCACATCCTTTAATGATTAATTTTTACCTTTTCCCCAAAAAGATGTCCGAAGCCATCGAGTAGATTTTGTAAGAATACTTACGTTCGGTCTCCAAGAACCTCTGAAGTTTTTCTTCCTTACGAATCTCTCGGAAAATCATGAAAAAATTAACTCACGAGCGCAGAAAATGTCCCGAGAACGGATACACAACTTTATTTGTTCCCCGTGTTCTTCTGGGCTGGAATGAAATATTAAAAAATGAGTTTTTGAGCGAGTTACTGTGAGAGGGTGGTTATTTTCTTTACCAGGACACTACAAGTTAAATGTAGACTTTGAGAGAAGCCCGTGACATTATTTCGTCTCGTCAGAGAACGAGTCGAGTTGGCCGAATTGTCGAGCTAAGATGAAGGCGTTCATGCCGAAGGGCAGTGTCAGCTGTCAAGTCACTGTGGACTGCGCATTTATGCCCGCACCGCTGGCACTCTGACACGTGTCTTCGTATTTGTTTCATTTATTCACTTATATTTTGGGTCACTGACTCGGCTGGGTCAAGAATGTTCCGTGTGGCCCATGGATAAGAGCCTCCAATCCATTCTGGGTTCAACGACGCGAGCGTTGATCGGAAGTGACCCCGCGTCTGAATTTTCTGCGTGTCTCCCGAATTTCAAAGAAAAAAAAAATAGTGTCAGACTTGGAGCACTTAATTTAATCTGATATATGAAGCTCTTCTCAGTAAATTTAAAAAATAAATAAACGAATCGACGGAGAAATCTGGGGTGCGTTTTACATTTGATGGCCTCGTGGATTTCCTGGTTCTGTTCGGCGGTATCTTCTGCGTTCAAATCAAATGTTAAATTCAATAAAACGAGCTCTTCCTATAATTTTATATGTAAGAATACAAGAGCCTCTTTTTGTGCATAACGATTGTGTTTATGTGGGAAGAGTTCGACGAGACGTGAAGCTAAGCTGGTAATTGGACTTTGAATAAAATTAACGAGCTTATTTGATTTTGTAGATAACGAGTGTATAGTGTAATTTTTCCTTATTTTACAGACCAATAAAAAAACAAATGGAATCGTATTCTCCCATAAAATGTATTTCGAACAATTCTTCGAGTAATGAGGAATTTTTCATGTGATCCAGGCGTGCAAATTTTGCGCTGAATGTACCGTGCTATGAAAAGTCTTCGCCAGCCCGAACTGAAAGCATTATTTTAAGTCTTCACATAATTTATACCAGCTATCGGTCATTTTATTTAGATCAAAAATTATAATACTAGCCGAATATATATTTTTTCATTTGACTCTAGTTTCTAGTCTTTTGAATTGCTGATTCATTGTTAGGTTTTTTAAGTAATCAGAGAAATTCCACCATATTTAATCAAGCCTGAGCTCGATGACATTTTTTGCTGCGCTTAGATTTTGTCAATATTTAGAAAGCGGTGAAACAAGTATAAGTACTAGACGAGGACTATTTTTCGGAGTTCCGGGCGGTGTTCTAAACTTTTTTCAAGCTCATATTTTCCATCTTTTACTGCTGCTGCTCATTGATGGAAAGTAATTTCTTTTGTGTCAAGTACGTAAACAATTTATTCTTTGACGAAGTTTGTGGTGAGTTTTATCTGAAAGAACCTGCCTAATGTAAGAATGTATGACAAACTAAAAAAGAATTAAAGACAAATACTGCATACAAAACCTCAAGAGATAATCAACTATCGAATATACAGTATTCCCCCTTTTAATAATTCCGGAAATCAGCGGAGCCTGCAGAAAACTCGCCTTATTCTCCATCAAATTGAAAAATACGGAATTTTGTTCAGCAGAGGGCCCATAATTTGTTTTCCGCATGTCTCAGTTTTTATTAGAAAAGGTCCAAGTAAAATCGGGGACACATTCTTTCTTCCATTTTCCGGGAGTTGTTGCTGATTTTTTTTTTTTTTTGGATTCTAAGGGCTCTTGAAAATTCTTCTCTCATAGGCAGTCGACGTTAACAGAGTAACCAGTTTTTCCTGGTGCTTGAAAGAAACTTATTGTATTCACACTCTCGAAGGTTTAATTTTAATTGGACCATATTTTGATAATATAGAGATGATAAGATGAAACGCTGGCAGCAGCGAGTAGTTGTAATCAGCCGAGTAAACCTTATTCCGGAACATAGCTGGCATATTAACGCGTCTCTTGTTAGACTGGTTTTATTCTCACGTGGGAATCGAAACGCATGTTGATAAAAATCTGAAAATTTCGTGGGAAGAACTCACCCAAGTTACGAGTCCTCGGAACTGCGTCAAGCGAAAAATTCCCCTTTGTTAAGTTTCCCCGCGAATTTAGCTCATGGTGAGAATAAGAATGAGGCAAGGTGGGAATGACTTTCGGTAGGGTGGTTAGTTGGGTCACCTTGACGAATCAGCTCATCCTTGGCAGCTTTTCACTGTGAAGGTCAGCATTTCAATTGACCATGACCTTGTTTTCGAAAGGAAACGGCTGCGCCGATTTCGTTTTTTTTTTATTACTGGAATGCTGAATTTGCCTGAAATTGCAGGTCACGTGTATTTAGAGAAAAATGGGTCTATCTTTTTGTTCTTTCTTGACACTTTGTGGAAAAGAAAACGTCGTTCATGCGTGATTTTTGTGTTTTGCCTTATCTTTTGGCGGAATTCAATTGTAGAATGCATGCTCGGAAAATTTTGTTTTAATACATTTAATTTAATTTATTTGTATACCCAAATTTAGCCCATTATCAAAGTCAAAAACCTCTTGCACATTGTTAGAATAATTTAAAAAATACTTGGAAACAAGCCTTCTCTATATTTGCTGAAGATTTCACTTCGCAGTATCCCCGACTTCGGCAACTTCATACATGCCAATTGTTCTTTTCGACACATTTTCCGATTGAGCAGACCTTTGCATGAAAATTGTTGACATTTGAGCATAGTTTTAATCATGAAATTACTCGTATATTCAGGTCTGGAATATTGTCACTCGTAAGATTTTTTTGATGATTTTAAATATTTGTTAGCTCTTAGACTACCTACAAATTCATGCAGGATTCAATAGTTGTGAAAAATTTCGTTGCATTGCTGGAGTCGACTTTTTTCTCTCGGATTTTCCGCATTTCAACGTGTGTGAAGAAACATTAAAACGATTCTTCTTAAATTATTAAGAATACCACTGAAGAAATTGTGTTCGTCCCCATGAATCCGACAAAATGAAAGCTATCCTCTGGCTCAACCGTTGAACCAAAACTTGTAAAAAAAAATTTTTTTTGGATCCGTTGTCTTACTTTTGGAGGCAGTATGAAGTAAATACGAGGTGACTGGAAAAGTGCGTCTTGCGTCGTTCACTTTGCATACCGCTTGTCAGATTATGCATTTATACGGTATTCCTAAACAGCCGAGCGACTGACTGATGAAGGCTTCAAATGTTGGGGGCGTGCTTGAAACATGTTTGTATTTGAAAAAAAAATACTGTAATGCAATACTGTAATGCCGAATTTGCCTGAAATCGCAGGTCACGTGTATTTAGAGAAAATTGGGTCTATTTTTGTGCGAAATTCCTACTAAATTCCTTGTGAAAAATCGAACAAGTGATATTTGGTTTCAAGACAACTCGGAAAGCACCACATCTTTACAAGTATGAAAACTCATCCGGTTAACGATTTGGAACTTGAAAAGAAATTTTCAACTCGATTGAAAATTGTCCATGCGTTTCATTTCCGGATATTCATTTAGGGGAGAAAAACTAAGACAAAATCCTGTACTACAGTACAATGTATAACCAATTGAGTAGAAACAAAGGCGTTTAACTGGGAAAGAAAGAATAATTAATAGGCCTTTTTCTGAGACGTCCAAAAATTATACAGTATTTCGTTTGTAAAAAAAATTCTTGAATTGCTTTTAAATGTCTTAGACTGATTCAAACTTTTGTCCATTAGGAAACTGACTTGGTGATTTTATTCCTTTATCCGTGCGAGATATTTTTAAAATGCACGAAGTCTTTCAGAAGAATTAAGATTTTTTGTTTTCCTGTGTATCTTTAAAGTATAAGCATCAACTTACGTACATGAATTTGTTCCCAATTTTCTCAGCTTCATCCTCCAGTTCCTCGAATGCAGATGCCACCTGATTTCCATGAGAAAAAAAATAGCGAGGCATCGGGAAGATTTGAGACAGGAATTAGTCTTTTAATTGTTCTTATACATAAATTGAAAACCGTATGTGAATAAATATGGCTTGATGAGTTGTCACTCTATGAGTTTGCATTTTTCCAATTGGTACTGTCTGAGTTGTCGCTGTCCGAATGGTCAGATAATCGTGATTATCATGACTTTCCGAAATTCTCCACTTTATATGAGCTATGTGTTTTTTTCAGGTCTAAGTATCCTGTTCCTGTACTTGTACCAAATCACGTTTTTTGGTGGATGGATGGCATTTTACGGCCGTCTGGAGAAGGCGAACAGACACACCTTCACGATGAGGAAAATTATCACCTACAATGAAGCTGGTGAGTCGAGGCTTTTGTCATTTTGTTGGTCGAGAAAATCTCCCAAACTATCAAACCTCTAACTTATCTATCTGTTTAACACAAGACCCGACTGGAAGGTTTGCAAAAAAAGATTAAACTAAACCTAGGTTAAATCTCAAAGGGAGCAAGTTCGGAATTGTTCTAATTATTCGAAAAGCAGGGTTCAACATTTCACTTAACGTCGATCTGTTTGTCAGCCAAAATTGAAAAAGTTGTGCTTTATTAGGATTGAATAGGTTTTGCAAATCAAGTTTCGTAAATTTGTCATGTTCGCGGAAGTTATTTATCATTTTCTTATATATTTTATGCGCTTCTACGTTTTATGTGATGACGCTATTGTGTGAACTATTTTCCGTGCTTGATCTATGGATACTCTACTCATAAAATCTTATTGACAATATAAAATGCAATAAACTGGGTCAGTCCAATATTGGCAAAAAGAGGAGCGCATGAGTTACGTAAGCTTATGTGAACTAATGCCGTGTGGACGATTTTTTTAAATGTTGGATTGAATGACCTACACTTTTTTTGCTGATACTGTAGCGAAGAGACCCGCAGAGAATATTTTATACTTGCATAAATTTACTCTTCTTATTTGTGAATTGTCATTGGAAGGAATCATTCATTTCTCGGAATGATTTATGAATTATTTGTTCCTGCTAGGTTTCCCGGCGGATTGTGCATTCTATTTTATTTTAACAAAATTCCTTGTGGAATTCCTTCCTCACAGATACTTCGTGTGGTGTTTCTGATTTGAAAAATGATTTCAATTGAAACGCCTAAACTAGATTTTTGTAACGAGCAGCAGAACTGAAAATGAACCGTTTGTGCATTTTTACGAAGTACCGTAATCGTTTTAATTCCGAAGTTTGGCAACAACCTTGATTGCTTATTTTTGCCTAATACCGATTCAGCGTTTGGAGTTGTTTCTGCTCAATTTTTTATTACATTGTTGCGAAAGATAGAACTCTTTTTTATCTTCAAATGACTACGAAGAACCGTTTTGTGACCCCAGTATTTGATGGCGGAATAAGTTGACACGTGTTTTTTGAAAGGTGCCACTTGAAGAGACTGAACACTTTGTCAGTTAAATGCCAGCAGTACTGTGTATTGACTGCGTGAAGCACGTACAGCTGCTTATTTTTCGTCTAAGAATCAACTAATATCGTAATTTGCGTGAATTTGACATATATTCAGCATAAGCGAGCGTCCTAGTTATTGTATCATTGAATCTGAAAATTAAATAATGAAATGGGTTCAAATTTTGCAACTCTCTTCTGGTCTAATGGAAGGATTTAACTCCATGATGATGGCTCAGAAAATCATGTGCGTCAAGTTTTTCAGCATTTTGACTGACACGTTTAGTCATGATATTTATTGCTCAATTTATTAGCTGTCATAAAATTTATTTTTAATTTCCTGTGCAGAGACAATTCCTATTTCACGTGTTTCGATAATATTGCCAACTTTTCAAAGGTGCAGCGAAGGCTTTATCCCCATTTGTTGTGTGCATTGAATGCTAAATTAAATGCTTGAATATTTTCGGAAATCGCACGGAATCCACAGTATAGTACAGTACAGTAATTTATTCTTTGCAGAGACAATTTTTCGTTTTTTTTCTGTGTTCACTAATATTCTGTGTTTTAAACTTGAAAAAAATATTGCTTTTAACTTATGGAAGGACTTCCCTCCCCCTTTCCCCAAATAAGAGTGAAATGAATAATGGAAGCCGGATTTCGTCATTCGAAGAATTAGGAAACTGAATATTTCTGAAAATGCCTGAATGCATCAACTGAAATTCATTAGAATATTCGGATCTCGTTTACAAAAGAAAAAAGTGCAGATGGTTAATGATTTCATGTTCAATTTTCTGAAATTTTGATGCATTGACGAGGGTGGGGTTCGAAATTTTTTTTTTCCCCTTTCCAAATGTTGAACTTTTGAAATGATCGAGAGCTTGAAACCGTTGTGAGAGCTCACTGGTCAGAGTGCTGCTGGAAGCCCATTAATCTGATGTCACTACCGAGTTCAAGACCGCCTGAAAAGAAGGAATATTTACTGTATAACGGGCGTTTCGCTTCCTCTTTTCTCATTCTTATTTTTTTGTTTCGTTTTTGTTTGTTTGTTTAATTGCGACAGCGAAACAAGGTCGCGGGACTTGGTACCGGATGTTGTGCACCGGTGGTCACGAGCCGGATGACGACTTTGATGAGGGCGCCGAGGGAGCCACGAACCACGCCGTCATGCTGTTCTTCCGCAACTGCGTCGCCAAAACCCTGACGAAGCCTGTTGCCAAGGTGAGTATTATATAAAGAGGCGTTTTTTTTTTATTGAATTGTTTTTCCCGAAGAGTTTTTTTTTTTTTTGCTGGGAATTTTCAAGTTAGTCGGACCCTGACGTACGAACAATCCGACTTAGGGACGCTTGCAAATGAAAAAAAAAATAGAAAAAATGCCTGGACATCTGGACAATGTTCTTTCGAGATGCGGGAATTTTAACAGCATTTTTTTTAGAAAAAAATGAAGCAAGGTTTTCACATTTTTATATTTCGTGAACAAGTTGAGCTATTTATATTCACAAAAAGTGAAAATAAATTGCGTTGTAAAATTACTCCGATTCATAATTTAAAAAAAAACAGGCTAATTTTTTTGGAGTTTTTCTTCTCTTCTTTTTACTATCATGTGTGCGCAGTTTAGCTAGACTCATTCTTGTTCTTCGTTTCTTGAGCTTCTTTTCTGATGTCAAAAGATCAGATTTTGTGCTATTTTCTTCTGCACAGTTATTTTCTGTGTATAGATGGCGAGAAAAAAATATTGAATTTCTTGGTGACTTTTTTGGAAATTTTTGATGAGTGGGAGAACGAATTATATATGTTTCCACTGATTTATATGGGAAAACTTGATCCGACATACGGACGCTCCTACGTATGGACACGATTCAAGCACCAATTACGTCCGCATCTCGGGGACACACTGTGACTCCGTAATTTTGCTGTTCTTTTGTTTTGGTCGTGGTATTTTTTTTGTCTCTCATTTGAAATGGTCACAGAATTCCTGCTGTTATCATCACGCGAAAGATTAATTTCAAAATTGAGTTTCTCCTGCTATTCCACCTTTCCTTTAAATTTTAACGAGTTTGAGATTTTAACATTTATGGCACATTTTTCCTCTGATCATTGATTATTCTTCCGTATTTATTGATTTATTTATTGCCTCACATTCGCGTTGGTCACGAAAATGCATTACTGTACTGTTGGGCGTTTGGAAAATTAATTTTGGGTTCTACCGCGCTTTTCCTGAAGTTTTTCTTGACATATTGTAGATTGTCTGTTCTTGGAAGAATATTTCTTTCTGATTGATGATTGTTCTTTCGCATTGATCATTTGTTGGACTCAAATTCGTCATGGTTACGACAATTTCTGTAGCAATATGAATGGAAGAATTTTAAATAGTTCCTCGTGGAACATGAAGAACATTCTCCCCGATAATTTATACGAAGAAGAGATTATTTCAGAAGAGGTTTCACTTTTAATAAAAATGCAAGTACATTTGATGGCGTTCCACTAGAAGGAAGCATCGCAAAAGATTGAGTGAAATTCTTTGAAAATTTTATTTAATTTTCACGACGGCTGCTGAACAAAACATAGAATTAGGATTTGTTCAATTGCAGCTAATTTTTACTGTGGCAGAAATATTTTTGCACCGTTCACTTTTTTATTCGAGGTGAATATGGACAATCCTCGTTAGGCAAGAATTATCGTCTTTTATTTACGCTCTTCTATTTTTTCAATCCAGCTTGACACTAACTTATATTGAGGCGACATCTGTCCCCAATAATTCTCGTAGAACGTCATCTACTATTCGGTGGGGTAAATGTACTTTGAAAATTTTTATTTAATAGAAAGCATTTTTTTGGAAATTAGTTTCATGCCCGTCTTTGATCGTTAGAATCCTCAGATTTTAATCAACTGAAAATTTTTCAAATCCGGCTTTTCTCCTGCAATTGATGACATGTGCGTTTCCAAAATTTGGGCAACCTTGTGGTCTTTTGGAACGCTTCGTCATTACCTTTTTTCAGTATGCGTGATTTTTGTTTGTTCCAGATTATGGTTGGTATTATTTTCATTTGCTATGTGGCCGGTGGATTATACGGAGTTTTGCAACTGGAGGAAGGACTGAGCCTCAAACGCCTGGTATCTGATTACTCCTACTACGTCGATTTCTACGACAAACGATTTTCAGAATTCATGGACTATCCGTATCGAGTTCCGGTAAGTTTGAAAGGATTGAATCGCTTTCACGACTCCTGAAATCTGCAACTACAGTAATTCGTTATTCCCTCTATCTTAACCTGTGAATCCAGGATCAGTTGATATCTTATCCTATGGGAATCTCGCGTGTGGCTTAATTGTAAATTTAAAGGCAGTAAATATATATGTTTTGAAGATAATAAATTTACACGGAAAACTTCTGTGAATGTAATCCCTCGCGTGGTTACGAAAATGGGTGTCATTTCAAGTTTTTTGCATCCGTGAATTGGCTGATGTACAAATAATTTCCCTAGAATTTAAATAATGATCTATGATTATGATTTTTAATTAGAAAATTTCAGGCGCGTCTTTTTTCTTGGCATTGTCACTACGTTGCAATATCGCTGTTTTAGTTCAAGTCTACGAACTAAAAAAAAATTCCCAAGATTTTAAATGATATAATCTATGATTGTTTTTTAATTAGAAAATTTCAGGCGGATCTTTTTTCTTGGCATTGTCACTACGTTGCAATATCGATGTTTTAGCTCAAGAGAATGAACTAAAAAAAATCCCAAGATTTCCAATAAGAATGTATGATTATTTTCATTAATTAAAAAATGTCAGGCGCATATTTTTTTGCGTTATTACTAAGTTGCAATATTGCTAATTTAGTTCAAGTGAATAAATCATTCAGCACCTGTTGCTGAATTGAATACTTTCAAAGGATCGTCGTGGGAATAAGTTGTAAATGAACCTCCATGATGGAAAATGTTTCTTCACTTTCTGGAAATGAAACAAAAGTAATGAAGTTCCATGACTTATTAGTCATTGTAAGGTTTTTTCGTTTCCTTTTTTTAGATCGTCGTTGCGGGACACGTGGACTATTCTGACAGGACTGTGCAGGATGATATGGAAAGGCTCCTGGAAAGAATCGAAAACCACACCTTCTATGCCAATTCAAACTTCACAGATTCCTGGTTGAGGAAGTTTCTCAAGTTTGCCGAAATGGCGAATAATCATGGGGCGAATATAATCGACTTATCGAACGAAACGACGTTCAATGAGAATCTTCGTGGCGTAAGTAGTTCCGTTTGAATTTTTTATCTAATTTCTCGGAAATCACGGGTTGACCAATCTCATAGCGTATGTTCTATAAATTGCATCAGAAAATAAACTTCCAACTTCTTGAGGTTGACTGAAGTGTCTTTCAAATATTGCCCGACGTCATGAGTTTCATATTTCGGGGCGTTGGTAAGATCAGCACGCGCAATTGAATAAAATAATTCTGGAAAAAGAGTTTCCTTGGTTTTTTCTCTTTGCTGATTTTCCAGCGAAGCTGTAGAAAGATTTTTTTGTGCTAGACTGAAAAACAGTCGGAACGAAGTAGGATTTTTACATACCTAACTTTCATATCTAATATCTAACCAATCATGTTACTGATGGGAAAACCTTTTCACAGACCTCGTCAAATTAAGTGAGAAATCCTTCAGCAACTATTTTTGTGGCATCTTTTTTTTTTTTAATACGCGTGCAGGTCTTACAAAATGCCCTTGCATCTTTGAAATTGAATTTTAATCAAACGAGAATTGAATGATCTCTTCAATATGAGTACAGTACTGTACGTTATTTTTCAGTTGTAGCTACAACGTGCTAAAAAAAAGGGGTTCATTTTTTCCGGCCAATACTGCACATGCCTGGATAATTTCGATTACTTGACCTTGTGCAGGATGGAAATAATTTGAGATTGTCAATTTTCTTTCCGTCCAGGTGCTGAATTCCGGTGACAATAATAAAAACGCATTGGACGTGGTTTTTGACGACGGAGGACGAATCATAGCGTCAAGATTCATTGTGCAAATCTATGATCTGAAGAAATTGCCGGACTTGAAAGATTGCATGCTGTTTTTGCGGCACGTCTTCAAGGAGGAATTCCCAAATTATAACCTCACCGCTTTCAATCCCGTCTTTTCTTTCGCGGAATTGGTGAGTTTCGTAAAAGTATTTTTGAAAAGTTATTCAATCAGTTCTGATGTGGCCATGAACCCTCTCTTCGTACGTGTGAGTGCAGGAAGGAAATTTAAATTTGTGAATGCTCTCACGGCATTTATCGTAATTTTTTTAAAGCAAAATATCGAAAAATGTAGCGCCAGATCAAGAGTTTTCAGTCGGTTGAATGCGATCGTGACCGAACAATTTGCACTGCTGGAGCGGAGTGAAAAAAAAAACAAAAAACAACGCATGCGATGTCATTATATTTAACAAAAAAACAATATTTCAAACCACCCACTTGTGCAAAATAGGCAAAACTTCGGCGTTTGTAGCGTCATGTAATGTTGCTGTTTAGTTAGGTTATGTGTATGAAAACCTCTTTTAATGATTTTCGAATAAAATTACCGATGTTAAATTTGATTCAAGCTATACCTGATGCCTTTCAATATTTCCTTTTTTTTTACTTCCACTCGTTTCTTTCATTTTGTCGTCTCACAAATTGAAAGCACGGTTTTCGATTGAATGCAACTGGTCTGGTTCGGAATTCCGTAGATTTTTTGGGTGGTTTTTTTCTTCATCCGGAGGAAAAACTTCCTCTAGGTTTGAAATTCTTTTTCTGAGATAACTATTGAATGATTCAGCAAATTTATTTTATTTTTGCGTCATTCGTAATGTTTTGTCTGCGATGGTTGATCAATAAGTTTTTGTCAATTTTCTGCTTGCTATGACGTGACTGCTGGTTAGATCAATAGGGGCTAAGGTCAATAAAAAAATAATAATGATCAATGCCTCGTTACTTTTGCTAATAAAATGAAGAGACGAAAATAAGTTTAAGGTACCCACATACATGTTTCAAGAACTTGCGTGCGGTACAAAAGAGCTGTTAAATACTGTATTCATGAATGTTCTATTATCAAAGTGGAAATATTTCAGATTCGGTGAGGACATTCGATTTGAAAAATTGGCCATACATTTTTCAGTTTTCGAATCAGTCTTATTTGAACGTAAATTTTGCTGTGAAATATTATCGGTGAGCAAGAAATTGCCGGAGTCGGGTCTGTATAATCGGAGACGAAAGCCTTTAAAAAATGAAAGATTTTTCGCTTCAAGCTTCATTTAGGTATTTTTATTCTTTTTCTGAGAAAACTATTGAATGATTCAGCAAATTTATTTTATTTTTGCGTCATTCGTAATGTTTTGTCTGCGATGGTTGATCAATAAGTTTTTGTCAATTTTCTGCTTGCTATGACGTGACTGTTGGTTAGATCAATAGGGGCTAAGGTCAATAAAAAAATAATAATGATCAATGCCTCGTTACTTTTGCTAATAAAATGAAGAGACGAAAATAAGTTTAAGGTACCCACATACATGTTTTAAGAACTTGCGTGCGGTACAAAAGAGCTGTTAAATACTGTATTCATGAATGTTCTATTATCAAAGTGGAAATATTTCAGAATCGGCGAGGACATTCGATTTGAAAAATTGGCCATACATTTTTCAGTTTTTGAATCAGTCTTATTTGTACGTAAATTTTGCTGTGAAATATTATCGGTGAGCAAGAAATTGCCGGAGTCGGGTCTGTATAATCGGAGACGAAAGCCTTTAAAAAATGAAAGATTTTTCGCTTCAAGCTTCATTTAGGTATTTTTAAATTCAGTAGTTGAAGATGCGAGAATTTAGACGGAGTCTTCGGTATCGAAGGAATTTTATGTAAAATATTTTACTGATTTTCGGAGTATCTTCCGTTCAATTGTGATCTTCCGATTATCTTCCGATAAATTGTGATCCTCAATTATAAAGGGCCAAAATAATTCGTGTTTTACTCTTTGAGTGAAGAAAAAGGGAATATAAAATGAGAAAATTAAATTCAATCAATTATATAAGCACTGTATTTCGCAGCATAAAACGACAGAGCCGTGGTTTGTCAATATTTCTAAATTATCCTAGCTTATATTCTGCTCCCTCTTTTTCCTTTTAGCTGATTGGAGCGACGAATACTGCAATCCAAACTGTTGGAATAGCCGCTGTGGTGATGCTGATAATTGCCCTGATTATGATCCCGGAATCCAAGTGCGCCATTTACGTCGGCTTTTCGCTGGTGTCGATCGAGCTCGGGGTTCTGGGCTACATGTCACTCTGGGGAGTGAACCTAGATGCCATCTCTGTCGGGTGTCTGGTCATGTGCATCGGGTTCTCTGTAGACTTCTCAGCACACGTCACACATTCCTTTATATCGAGTCCCGAGTCTACGAATATCCTCAAGCTGCAGGACGCCATTGAAAAGGCGGGCTTGCCGATTTTGCAAGGCGCCACTTCGTCGGTGTTGGGCGTGATCGCCATGCTGAAAATCCCGGCTTATGCGTACTTGATTTTTGTCAAGACCATTTTCTTGGTGATGATTTTCGGCGCTGTGCACGGGATCTTGTTTTTGCCTGTGCTGCTCACTTTGACGGAATCGAATGGCGAGAAGAAGAAGACGGATTCGAAGCAAGCGGCGAAGCGAATAGCGTCTCCGCAGACGGACTTGAGTCTCATTAGAAGGGATGAGTTTTCCGACTCGTCATTCCGGCAGGATGAAGGAAATGATTACGTTTCCTTCATGGGATTCAAGGTGATCATTTCTCCAAAGAATTGGAAAAACTTTTTTTCGTGTTTTTGTTATTTCAAGTCCTTGATTTTCTTCGACGTAACATGCGAGAATTCAAGGTCTATTTCCGCTTGCGCCATGCGTAAAAACGTCCAACTTGTTTTTATGCTTTTCGAGCGACCTCTGTTCTTTGGAATAGAAACGTCAGACTTAATCGTTATTGGCTTAACCGAGAGATGTGGTAGTTAATTTGTGACATGTTCCCATTGTGCTGTCAAAACACAAAAGCCAATCGCGGTCACTGAAAAGTCATACAGTGGATAGTGCAAAGGAGAGGATTGAATTTGTTTTTAGTTATTTTATCAATGCACGGACAATTTTTTTTTTTAATTTTCTCCAAAAATTTTGCTGTATTCGTAAGTAGAGAAGCTCTGAAATCTGTTGAAAAAACCTTTCCGGAGACCGGAATGAAAGCACTCATCTTAGCACTATTGTTCTAGTTACTGAATGGTTGGGTAATACAGTACACAAACTGATTTCATTTTTCGGATGCATGGAATGTCGCTCAAAACTTGATGAAACCTCTTAGGTGTAACTTTCTTTTCATGATTTTTTTAAAGTCTAAGGTCTCACAAGTATATTTATAAGTTTGTAATTTTCTGAGATCCAAGCACTATTTAACGGAAAATAATTGATTATATTGAGACTGTGTTCAAAATTTAACCAACGAAAAGGAGAAAAGAATTTTTTCTTCTAAAGCGCGTTGGAAAAATCTACTTGAGCCTTTATTCGGTTTAAAGGGCACCTGAAGTTTTCTATTGTGGGAATGAACAGTTGAAAGACATGGGATTTGTCCTGATTATCAGAAAATGTTTCATGAAATATGTTTCTTTTGGTTTTTCTATAGTTGCATGACGCGAAGAAGAAGAACAGAGTCTCAGGATCGTCGAGTGACGAGTCCAGTGGGATCGGGATGGATCCCAAGTCGTCGTCGAGTGAGTCTGTCGACAGCAAAGAAGTCGACGAGTTCGTCGACGCGGACGAACCGCTGAACAACGGTAGCTCTCGACTCATGAGCCAGGTGTCGCACGATTCCTGTTTGTGAAGACAAATAATCTCTGCTCAATAAGTGAAACAAAACAGCCGACGACCTCATCGTTTGCAGTAGAAACACGAATCCAGAATTGGTGAAAACTACGTGGCCAGTTTTATGAGGACATTCCTAAGAAGAAGAAAAAAAAAGAGACGTGGAATCTTACAAAACGAGACTTTAAAAACAGCTCAGGCTGGAAATTCGTCATAAGCTTGGCCGAATCCGCGGAATCGTTTTCAGTCCCGACGTTTTAAACGGGACTCATTTTTTTCGGAGGAGGCGCCGGAAACTCGTTTCTTGGCGTTTTGTCGCCGGGTATGGATGTGATGAAAAGATGTTATGGTGATGATGTCAACATTTGTCTTTTTAGGGCTTGTACTTGCCCTGAATTTGTAAGTCTTTAATTATTTTCTAGCATTGATGCGAGTCGAGGTAGAAAAATTGAGGAAGCGAATGCTTCCTCGACTGTATTTTGTGGCCATTCGATGTATATTTGCCTCTGAGCCATGCGAACGGGTGTATGTGATATTTTTTTCTCCCGTTGTACAGTGGGATCCACCCGCTACTATTTCGTATACCCGCAAAAAATTTAAATATATTTCAGCGAGTTTTGAACATAAAGAGCATAAAATTTGTGCTTGAGAAAAGTTAGATGCTGTAGAAGGACAACGAACGGTAGTACGATAAATTGATATCATCAAACTGCTGTGAGAGCTTCAAATAATTGCGGTTGGGGTAAGAATTGAGATCAAATTTTTAGGATGTCTCAGAGATGATAGGTACTTACCCTTTACTCAAGTACCACCCAAACCATTTTCCTAAAAATAAAATTAGGCTCAAAAAATGGGATGCGCATCATACTTGATGCAGCTTTTCTGCGATTTTATTTTTACATTTGCGGTGCGCCTCATAATACGTCGAATAGTTTCAGTTGAGTTCAAATGTATAATTTGTAGAGACTGATGGAATCGATGAAAATACACTTGCAGCAGGCCTATATCAATCTGAGGCATGAAGTTCTTTAAAAAAATAAATGCAGTATTTTGGAATTCAAATTTTATTCGCAAATATTTCTAAATGCATTTTTTGTTTCATGAACTAGGATCAATTTTTGTGTCACGTAAGGAACCCAAATTGCGCGTGATAATACAAGGGAGTACAATCCTTAATAATAAAGTTACTACTCTCTGTACGTCGGTTTTTCGTTCGTCCGAACGCACTTTTCCCTTCCCAGTTGCCCCCTATGCCCTCTGTCCTCCCTCCCACCCAGCCCCAAGAACTTTCCCGCTGGTAGGATGTAGTGTAGGGTGTAGTATTTGCTATTGGGTATGGTAGTTTTTTTGGTATTATTTAGTTATTTGATTTCATTAATTCTACTAACCATTGCCCAGGTGTGGCTGGGCACCCCCTGACTGAGTTTTTAAATTTTCTGTAAAATCCTGAACATGATGCCCAGGTGTGGCTGGGCACCCCCAGCTTGTACTGTATAAGAAAGTTGTCCTTGTAGAACGGGATCACTGACACTTTTAAAGGAGGTGTGATTGTAAAAAAAAAAGAAATTCCTGACATAGCCCATGATGTTCCAAGGTCATGGGATGTTTATTTTATTTTTTAAACGTTTCTCAATTTACTGTATAATTATAGGTATAAATTTTCTAGTTACATCCAGTGCTCTCCATTCATGTCACCGGGTGCTAAAAATTTGTCAGGCTATAGCTAAAAAATCGAATTTGTACCGTTACTTTAAATTTGGAAAAGGTAATGAGTTAAACAAAGCAAAATTTAACTTTTAAGCTGGTCTAACAAAATTGTTAGCATCCTGTGACAGGTGGAGTACAGTACAGTACTCTGCCTATAACACTGGAAAGTTCTCATTTTTCCTCATGCAGGAAATTAAAAAAATTGTTTTTAAAAAATCCGAAAAATCCCAGAACTTAAGAATATCATGGGCTATGTCATGATTTTTTACATCACACTTACTCTAAAAATTTCAAGAGTTCGCGTCCAACCATGGGGCAACCCTTGTGTATTAGTCAGTGGGAGTTAATTATAGTATTGCATCTTGAGGCAAAAACAATCATAGTCTCTTGAAATGAAATGGATAACGCTGAAATTTTGTCACTCCCATCAGGAAAACTATGTTTGTATATATTTGTTAGATTATTAGTGGATGGATCGCACCGGCTAAAGTCATGAAAGCCAAAAACCTTACTCTTCACAATGTTTGACTCCACACTTCTGATGATGATGCTGTTTCAAGTAGTGGCAGGATTTTATTCTCTGGTTATCTCTTTGTCCCGCCTGTACTCAGCACTAATTTAGTGATACGATATCGTGTTCATAAAACTCGCTGAAGTATATATCAACATTTTAGTGGAACTATACTTTATATAGCGAATGAATCACCCTGTAATTACGCGTAGTTCTCAAGATTGAGAGCTCATCGGTGCTGGCTTTCACTTTCTTTTTTTGGCGCTCGGAAGAATGAACGAGAATCACTTTTTTTTTACGAATCTTCATGGTGACAATGATTCATGATTTTCAATAATGAATATATTCGTGAAGATCCCACCGATGCAGGCGATCGTTCAACGGCATTTCTGTAATCTATTGTTCCGTGATTCTTTAAGGTAATGAGTTAAACAAAGCAAAATTTAACTTTTAAGCTGGTCTAACAAAATTGTTAGCATCCTGTGACAGGTGGAGTACAGTACAGTACTCTGCCTATAACACTGGAAAGTTCTCATTTTTCCTGATGCAGGAAATTTAAAAAAATGTTTTTTAAAAATCCGAAAAACCCCAGAACTTCAGAATATTATGGGCTATGTCATGATTTTTTACATCACACTTACTCTAAAAATTTCAAGAGTTCGCGTCCAACCATGGGGGCAACCCTTGTGTATTAGTCAGTGGGAGTTAATTATAGTATTGCATCTTGAGGCAAAAACAATCATAGTCTCTTGAAATGAAATGGATAACGCTGGCATTTTGGCACTCCCTATCAGGAAAACTATGTTTGTCTATATTTGTTAGATTATTAGTGGATGGATCACACCACCGGTAAAAGTCATGAAAGCCAAAAACCTTACTCTTTACATTGTTTGACTCCACACTTCTCCTGATGATGCTGTTTCAAGTGATGGCAGGATTTTATTCTCTGGTTATCTCTTTGTCCGACCTGTACTCAGCACGAATTTAGTAATACGATATTGTGTTCATAAACTTCGCTGAAGTATATATCAACATTTTAGTGGAACTATACTGTATATAGTAGCGAATGAATCACCCTGTAATTACGCGTAGTTCTCAAGATTGAGAGCTCATTGGTGCTGGCTTTCACTTTCTTTTTTGGCGCTCGGAAGAATGAATCGAATCACTTTTTTTTTTACGAATCTTCATGGTGACAATGATTCATGATTTTCAATAATGAATATATTCGTGAAGATCCCACCGATGCAGGCGATCGTTCAACGGCATTTCTGTAATCTATTGTTCCGTGATTCTTTGCAAAGAAGCTATTGTCACGAGAGATTTGTCCGTGAAGAGGTTATTGCATGTAGATCGCTGTTGGTAATTAAAACAGCCTCCAGTGTTGATCTTGATGTGCTTACATACGATTTTATTCATTTAATTGATCGTGGACGAGTGCAAGAAACCGTTACTCAACTTTTGGTGAGCGAGGTACGTTATACACGTATAACGCACACTGTTGAAGCAACCCATTTCATTGGAATTCTGTCCACTAAAATTTTATTTGTCAAAACCAAAAATTAATCCCAAGCCGATATGTGCTGCTTGATTGCTGACTATAGATTATGAAGTCAGATTGATAAGAATAACAAGCTGGACCAGCATTTCATACAGAGAGAAAAAACATGACCAGAATGGCCTGTGTATGTCAAACATTGTACTGTACATGATTTTGTTCAATGTACATTTTCAGTGCGCATGTCTATATTTCATTTGTGTAAATAATGAAATTCAATTGCAAAATCTAAAAACAAAAGGAAATTTAGCAAACAGCAGTGATGCAGCCCTGCAAATAATTCGGGTGTTGAAGTGAAGGGCTTTTTTGGCAAGTATAAGTTGGTTGTTGGTTCTCGAATATATATTTTTCCCGAAAATTGGCCGAGTAAGTACAGTATTTCAAATCGGTGGCAAGATCTCCATATAGTCGCCACTTTTAGTACAAATGTATTTTTTCTTCGGGGGATGAGCAGAACGAACACATTTCATTTGCTGAGACGCGCATGATCATTTTAATTGTGTTTACAAATTAAATGGTTTGTTGCGTGAAACTTGGTGATGAACATCAAATTTATCTCCCCCAAGAAAATTCGACTGAAATGTCCTAGCACCTTTTAATGCTTGTGTACAAAAAATTTTGGGGCCAACTTTTTTTGTACACGAGCATTGAAAGGTGCTAGGAAATTTCAGTCGAATATTCTTGGGAGAGATAAATTTGATGTTCATCACCAAGTTTTACGCAACAAACCATTTAATTTGTAAATACAATTGAAATGATCATGCGCGTCTCAGCAAATGAAATGTGTTTGTTCTGCTCATCCCCCGAAGAAAAATTAAATTTGCTGTACGTTGAATTCAGTACTTCATGTACTTGCCAGGTTGATGCGGCAAACAAGCGTCACCTAAACAAAGGCGGACTCTCTACATTCTACAACGATCCGGTGCACATCGAATTTCTATATTGTAATGTTTTTTTGTTTGGCCCCATAATAATATAAAACATGGTATTCTTTACTCACATTATGGCGATTCCCTGCATCTGCAACGCAATACTCTCTACAACAGAATTATCTCCGAACTCTACACAGAATTCTTCTGCCTTCTTGAATTTTGTTGTAAAGAGAGTCCACCTGTATTACGGCCCACTGTATACAAGGGTTAATTCATCATCACGCAGAAGATACGTAGTACTGTATATATGATAATGAATCTATCACATTATACATCAATATATGAATGATCTTCAACCAACATTCAAAAGTTATGGTAATATTTTCTCCATCTCTGAGATCTTGCTAGTTTCATCGCCATAAGCTATAGATCGATTACTGTATGGCGTAAAATTTGCAGCTCCAAAGCGTCGAAATCCGAATTTCTTTCACAAAGCTGAGTCCCAGCATGATGGTTTCTGACAAAGTCGCCGCTATTTTCGGAAATGAAATTCTCTCGATCGCTCCGCTGCATGCCACGGAAAAAATCGGGTCCCAGAGTTTGACCCAAGTTGATCCAAGATTAGAGGGGACTGCCTCATTCATCGGCGATTTCTTCTTCCAGGTCAGCAGACGTGATTATTCTCGTGGGTTCCGAGTTGGCCGAAAGCGGGTTGTTAGCCGGTGTCTTGGGTGCGTCATCTACCGGTGCGTCGAGCATTTCCTCCTCATCGTCAGCTTCATCGGAAGCGTTTTCGTAAGTCTCGGGTCGATTCGAGCTTCTGGATTTGATATCGGATAAGGGCAAGCGCTCGGAGATCTTCTGAAATTGATTAGGTTCTTCGCTGTCCTTTGACTCAGGCTCGAAATTCCGATCTCGAGAAGGCTTTCCCTGGCTTCTTGGGGTTTGCCTGCTGGATTCCACCTCCTCTTCTTCATCCGATGAGTCCACATGCTCGAAGATCTCGTACTCCAAGTTTTCTTCCGCAGGGATGAAAGGAAGAGTCGTCCGGTAAAATTTCCCCCTGCTGGTTGGCCGTGATTTCCGACTGCTTGGCGAATCGCGTCTTGGAATGATGAAGGGCGACCCACCGGTATTTCCTGATGGGTTCGGAAAGACGCGGTCCCGGGGTGCTGTACCGGGTTTAGAAATAATTGTGGACGTTGTGGTTGAAACGGCAGGCGAGATAATCGGGGATTGAAGGCGGGAGTCGCCTCTGCGGCTCTGGAAATCGTCCAAGGACGGTTCACCCATGATGATGATCTGCACAAAATGAAAGTTTCCTGGCAATGAAACCTGATTTTCACGTGCACATCACGGAATACAGTGGGAACCTGACATACGAACGCCCATCAGATGACAAATGAACGATTCGACCTGCTTAGGACACTTGAAATAAATAAAAAAGTCCCCAACATCTGGACAATGTCTCGGGATACGGACACTTTTCCAAAATTTCTAGAAAAGTTTTAACATTTTTTCATCCCAAATTTTTTTTTTTTGGAACGAAGTGATCTATTTATATTCACAAAAAAAAAAGATTTATAAAGTTATCCTAATTCATAATCGAAAACAGGCTAATTTCGTGTTTCTTTTTTCAGAGTTTTTTCTATCATTTTTGCAGAATACAGTATAGCTAGACTTTTTATTGTTCTTTGCTTCTTGAGCTCCTTCTACTGATGCCAGAGGAGAGGATTCTGTACAGCAGTAATGTTCTGCCCAGTTATTTGTCTGCATCTTGAAGTTGAGAAAAATTTACGTAAAATTTGTTGTGCGACCTTTCTTTTTAATTTTTGACGAACAGGAAAACCGATTAAACATGTATGAAGTCGAGAAAGAACTTTAATTAAATTTTTGGGGTCTATACAGAATCTAGGGATTCCTAATTTTTGATGAACAGAAATATACCTCTGAAATATATTCCCATTGAAGTTTAAAGGGGGAACGTGATCTGACGTTTTAGACCCACTGTTAAAAGTGGGTATTTATTTATTTATTATACATACACTGTATTCATATGCAATTACGTTACATGGTTCTCCAAGTGATCGCATAAATAAAGTTGACATTAACTCATAAAGAAGTTGAAGAATGCTTAAAGAAGACTGCTAGATTCGATCTTTCACACCGACATCAGTCACCAATATACTGTAATTTAAATTTATTATACGTTCTTCTCACGATTAATTGAAAAGTACTGTCATATTCACAGTACTGTACTGCAAATTATTTTCAAGGGAAAATCGTCAAGTGAGGGATTCAAAACTGATCTCTAAAAATCACTTAAAAGGATCATCATTAGTAATATAAAGGTTGAAAGCGATTTTTCCGCACTTTCTTCGAGGTAATGAAAATTCATACATATAAAAGCTTCCTTGAATGTGAAAAAACAGCAGTTCCGATGCTTTCAAGTCTTGGAAAGATCACTATATTTTATTAGCAAGGTTTTTTTGCGATGTATTGATTCATTGATTTTGGGCAAGAACTCGATAAATCAAATAAATTACATTACTGATTTTTCAAAAACGAACTGCTTTCTACTGTACATACCTCAATACAAAAAAGGTGACATTGAACTGTTGACTGCTGGCAGTATAAAAAAGACTTGCTTCAATTTTCGTCAGCCAAAATGCTATCGGGGAAAATTTTTCTCTTACGTATTGTACAGTATATTCTTGCGAAATCCTTGCATTTCTGATGAATACATTTTTTTTAAATGAACTCACTTCTGGGTGTTCGGGACTTCCCAATCTTCTACCGTCGCCTTCCCGTAGCGACTCGAAACTGCGCTGCGGCGACGGGTCATAGTTCAAGCGATGATACCCAGATGTCGCAACCTCACCTTGCTCGTCAGCCCCACCCCCATCTTCGTCCAACTTGGACGGCAATGTCGCATACGGCGGCTTCTGCTGTTCCGGATCCTCTCCCCAATCCGAGTCCGGCCTCATCAGCGCGCCTCCCAGCAAGATCATAGCGAACGCCAGCAACAGCGACACAACGAACAACACCACCCCGACAGTAGAATACGACTTCATCTTGGACGCGTACCAAAATGTCTCATTCATCACGTCCGCGTCAGTCGTATTCACACCGCGTGACACCAGCTTCATAGCGCCGAATGATTCCTCAGCGAATCCCAGTCGCTCGAGCAACAGCGAAGAGAACGCGTAATAAAAGCAAGCTTCTCGCAACGTGTGATCATTCAGGGCGAAGTATTCAGTCTTCAACTGATTAAACGGAGTGTTGCAGAACTCTTCGCGCAGTCCGAGTAGCGTGGTCTCCTTCATCACGCGCAAAGAGCCGACGAGCTCGGGGAACTTGAGCGAGTCTGCGGCGAGCACGAACGGAACAAGTGCCGGGGGATGATGATCCGGAAACGGATCCGCCGACAGGAACACGTCATCGTCAAAGAACTCAAACTCCGTGTGAATCAAACAAGTTCTCATGACAGATGACGAGGTGACATTATTTTCGCCGAAATCCGCGAACTCAGCATCAGCCGTGGTCTCTTCATCGCCGTGGCGCATCGGCGAGAGCAGGACTCGAGACAAACATTCGGGATCTTCGGATCCGCTCGTACTGGAATAATGGGGAGGACATGCGACTTTTTCAAACGTGGACTTGGCGGGAGTCGAAATGCAGGGGTGATCGCTGCGAAAGATGTCTGCAAGAGCGTCGAAGTGGAGCAGAACGGGGGAAGAGTCGGATTGGAGACAGGGATCAAAGATCTCGAGTTGCTTCAAAAGGGTTCGGTTCGTGGTTGCGAGGGCTTCTTGGATTAGATTTGCGTAGTGCCGCACGAGCACAGCGTCCAGGCCGAGACACGGGAAACTCTCAGAAACCAGGCGGGCCTTGCTGAAATAGGAATAAATGCAATTAGGAACATATTAATCATTAACGTCGATAAAAATTAATTAGTGCAAGCTGTACTGAGATTTTCACCCGTGATGCGGGATTTTACCGGTGCGTACGTGCTGAGAACGGCTTTACGAAAGTCACGATTTGACACAGCAAATACTTCTGCTCTCCGAACAGCATCTCATGTACGTAATCTCGTCTATGATTTGCACGGAAGGTTGTCAATTGAAAAAAGGGGTTCTTTATTCAGTCGAATTTTTCAAAAGTTAATTAAATCGAACTTGAAGGAACCAGAAAAAAATCGAGCTAGGTAATAAGCTTTTTTGACGAGGAGAGAGAAATAAAGAAAAATGATAAGATATTGTAATCGGGCGATATATTCCAGGATTGGGATTGCTTTTTTAAAAGTTGACTGGATGCTGAACTTGGAAGCAAGGGTTTACTTGCCAAATCAGTCTTTCACTTCCATTCAAAACACACCGTCACATTTTTATTACTTTTGTCTTTCCAGTGTCAATAAAAAATTAGCCAAAACGCTTCCAGAAAATTCAAGCTCTGAAGGTTTGAGTAGGCAAGCTCAAACCTCAGTTAGTGAGGTTTTCAATGTATGTTTTTTTTAGGGAATTCAGACAGCAGGGACTTCAAAAAATTCGAAATTGGGATGTTCGAGCTGCTGAAGAACAACCGTATACAAAACAAAGGGCTTCACAATAACATTCACGGGGTACACAGGTGAGAAAAGATTGATATGATCAGCGGCATATGGACTTAAAGTACCTCTGTCTGTTGAAATTAAATTCCAGACCAGAAATTCTACACGGAATCCAATTTAATTAAAATTACAGAGCGTGAAGGATCCTTTCCTCCCATGACTAATTTTCTCGGAAATCAAATCAAATAATAAAATGAATGCTACTTTTCCGGAACAAAGCATAGACAAAAGGCTGAAGTACAGTATACGGGCTATATTGACGAAGCCCTTAACTGAAGAATTGGGTTCTTTCTTAATGCACTGGGCAACTTCAAAGAACCTTTCACAGAAAATCTCGAATGAAAGACGATAAGATGAAAGACGCGTATCTTTAAAAATTTACCTGAAGTAGTATTTCTGGATCTTCAGGATGTTTTCAATCATATAGAGACTCCCGAAAAACGAAGAACACTTCGGAACTGGACTATTCGTCAAATTTTTTTTTTAACATAACAGTTTTGAGGACAGGTTGAGAATATGCAGAGAAATGCATAAGTAACGAACAAACTCAACTAGTTTTAATCCTTCTATGGTAGAGCCAAGATTATTTTGAAAAATTGTCTTCCAATAAACACTCTGAAATAAATAATAAACATTTGAACTTTCAGAGATAGCCCAAGTCCAAATTGATTAATTTTTTTATTTGTGCACAAAAGCTCTGGAAGAGCGAAAAGGCTTTTTCAAAATATTTTGAATTTCTATAACTTTCAGACGCATACGAGTTACTTAGTTACTCGTAGATTTAACTAAGAGGTCAATCGGACATACTGTATCGCTAATTTTCCTCACTTGGCTAATTAAAAGATTCCCAAAATTAGGCAACTCTGCTCAGCTGCCGTTTTAAAGACCTGCGGTTAAACTGAAATGTGCTGTAGCCTGCAAAAAGTTCAGTCACCGTCACGAAATAGGCAACCACCTTTCATTGCCCCACTTTAAATTTGCGCGTTTGTCAAATCTTGTTGCCAAAGCAAATGTTGGATGTATTTTATTTTATTCATATTTCTGTTTTTTTTTTCGGAGCGGCGGAGGAAGCAATAACACGTTTATAATGTTTTCAAAAAATAATTGCTCATTATTGGGGATAACATTTACTGAACTTTACATGAATTTCTTTTTTACTCGAAGACTGCTCCAACCTGATGCACAAATAAAGAAGTTCGCATTTCTGGCCTGACAAGCAGCTGCTCTTCTATACAGTATGCATTCAATTACCGTGGTACGATGTTTGTTTACGATCAAGTGTATCATGTCTGTGTATTAAACCCAATTTCGAGCTGGATGAACCATAAAATCCTCTTTCTAACCCCCTCCTCCCCCGTCCGGGGGATTTTTAAGGAAGGTATTCTGACGTCATTATAGCATTGTTCCATGGCTAAGGGGAGCTTAAGAGGAGGACAAATAACCATGAATACCTTCGATATGAAACTTATGAAAAATGTGTCAGATTTTACAGCAAATCACATTCTTCCGAAATTTAAATAAATGCAGTAATTTAAGACAAACTTGAAACTTTCTACGAGATCGGATTATCTTGAAGGATTGTGTTTGCCGTTTCCTGCCTACGAAATGTTTTCCCCCACCCACCGAACTTTCTTTACCACGACAGAATGCAGTTTAAAAATAGATCATTCCATAACCGTGTGACATTAATTAATTGACGATGCTCTTGTTCAATGGGTTTCGTTTCATGAAACGATAATTCAAGAGTGACCATTTCAAAATGAATTCGGAAAAAGGAAATTTTAGAAATATCTCTCCTTTTCTCATGGGGATGATCATATAGCCACGGGATATTTTTTGAGTCGGCAAATAATACATTTTTAATTGCTATAAAACTGTCGTGAACAACTGCTGGAGTCCAGTTCTTTTTTTTTTTTTTTTTTTTTTTTTGCTTGCGCCACATATACTTGCTGACGTTTATCGCGATTTCCTACATGTTTCAATAGCCTAAACGAATCGGCTGAATAGGCCTTGTTGATTCTTTTTTTTTTTAAGATTTCTGTTTTTTTCCGCGTGAACAACGCGGGGCAATTTTAATACTCGGGAAATTGCGTAAAAGGTTAGAGCTTTTTTCCTCCGTGTTGTACGACAACTGACCTGGAACCGTGTCCCCCGTGCTGCGGGACTGCAATTCTTTTTACTTATTCCCTATAAAAGAGCTGTTCCGAGTTTGTTATACATACTAAGGATCTGTATGTAGTATGACCCTCTTCCCGTCGGCCATTGCTGAAGGGCGCCCCACTCCTGAATTTCTTGTCTGCTTCCCACGTTTATCTTCGCCATCGAGCTCCTGCGAAACTCATTTTTCTCTCTCCGCTGTTCTTACTCCTGGCCGATGGCCCAGTTTTCCGAGAGGAACGGGCTCATCAGGAATCTTAGGTATTCTTTCGGACAACGTATCCCACACGGCTTCCTGCGCACCCATGGTTTTATCCGTGTTGCTTTTAATGGCATCCATCGCAGATGCGCAAGTTCTCCTCCCACAAAAATCCCAGATGCATTGAAGTTCTGTGGAGTAAAACTATCCGACTCCTTTTTTTTTCGGTCAGCAGAGTAAACGATCGCGCGTGAATTCATAACGGAAAATGGATCATGGGTGTTGAATGAGAACAAGGCTTACTTGGCGGGAATCCCTGGATCTGCAGGATTTCTTCAAAAATTCCTACCAGCGCTCCAGCGATTTTACCCCCGACCGATTTTCATCTGAAGATTAATTTGACGTTCCGACGTAATTTCTGAAGAAGAAAAAAGCATGCGGAAGCAGTTCTGGTTTATAAAGGGGTAGTGTTTGCTTCCCTTTGTGATAGAATGGTTTACACATTTCCATAAATTGTATTTAAATTTTCTCGCATCCATTTGACGTAACATCTGATTAATATAACCACTTCTTTACTCTCTATTCGAGAATTTCATTTTTCCGTGAAAGTCAATTTTAGAGAATTTTCAATTTCAACGTGTGTTTGGAACTTCTTTATCTTTAATGGCACTTGTAAACAATTGATTTTTATTTGGGCATCACTATAGATACGATATGAATCTTCATTCTTGAAGCCTTCTTTTGCATTTGAAACATTGTGGGAAATCGTAAAATTTTATGTTCCGAGGGCTCACATTTACGAAAGATGCAGCGGGTAATGCTCTGGTATTTGACTCTTCGTGTTCCACCATCCTTGGTCATGAAACCGGTGGGTTGGATACCGGAAAAAATTCCGGGAATTATCCAAATCGTTATCTTGAAGATTTTACTGCCCTACTTTCCGATGAGATACTATACAGAAAATTGAAGAAAGATAGCGTAATCGGAATTGGATTTTTCGTGATTGTCGTTCATGACGAAAACACCTTTTTCGCGCAGAATGGGAGGCATAAGGATCCGCCCTGAAAGTAATCTGGTAAATTGTGGACGCGTGAATAGCAGTCGTACAAAAGTAGGCTTAGTGTGGACTGGGGTAGATAAATAGCTACTGAGATTGCGAATCTCAACAGGTCAATAACCGTGTGGGGTTCTGAGGGCTCGTGCCGGATTCTTTGCCACGCGCCGGGGCTGCGGAGCGTTGACTCCGCAGGCTTCTTCTGCAAGGGAATGCACGATGCTCCTGTCTGAATGTATGGGCATTGCAAGGAGTGGAATGTACGCGTCTAGCGTGAATATCCGTGAACAATTACGGGTGCGACGCGTCGGGTAATTGCATTCGAGCTTGAATTGCCGGGCTCTTCTCGCACGACTGAAGAGTCCTTGCGACTCGATGGAGTTGAACTTTCGGGCACGTGCCTGGACCCCGACGCGTTCCGATTTTGGTTTTGGGCGGAAATTTCCTTCCAGGTCCTGCCTCTCTTGACAGACAGAATATGACGCACTTCAGAGTTCCTCGCTGACTCGTCTACCTGCCGTCGGCATGTATCCTGGGCTCCCTGCCATGCAAAAAATATATATTAGTTTTCTCCAGCATGGGATCTAATTATAGTTCATTAGATTTCTCGGACGAATCAGGATACTCGGCCAGTCGGCTCTCTTGCACGTTTCATCTACAAGTCCTTTTCCTCATTTCTTCCAAGTGCAACTAAATGCTACCCCAAAGGAATTCGAGAATTCCTTACGCAATAATCGAGTATGAGACGCCAATGATGATCAGATGCATCCATATTTTTAAAAACATTTGAAACAATGCTGCCTAAAAATGGCAGAAAAATGTCTCACATTCAATTTCTTTAGCATCAGAGGATTATGATAATCTTAGGAATGCTTCGATTACCGGTACTTTATAAGTAACCTCAACAAGGGTTCTCATAAAAAAGCATCATTCGATCCTCTGTCTCGTTAAACCCGAAATGTCGATAAGCTTTGTTAAATTTTACTTCCCATCAATTTTCTTCAAGAATCAACCTGATCTGTTTCTTCCCACCCGAGCGTTGAGTTCGTCTTACTTCCGATTAAACTTGCGTATTTTAATTCTCTTCAGTTAGCGGGTTGATTTAACGTTGTTAGATGTCTTGGACCAGTTTGGAAAATGGGCTGTCGGGCACCTTTTTTTGAACCACGTTAAAAAAAATACTGTTTGCTCAAATTCTTTCCTGCAAAAATTATGCTTCGGGCAGAGAATGGTTGGGTTTTTTAAAGTTGAAGCTTTTTTTTACAAGGATCCCATTTCTTTGAACTTTTTTTTTCGCTCGTCTCTTCGCTCTCGCTTTCCAAAATTTTGGGATGCCAATCTATCTCAGTTAGCGATTTGTTGATGCGTGGCAGGGTGCTGAGATTTTCATCTTCCAATGTGCCAGACTTGTTTCGTTGACGAATCGTAAAAGGATCCACGAGCTAATTGAATGTAATCGTCTGTCAGCTTCGATTGATTTTTTCTATGATGGATTTTATAACTAGGGAATACTGTAATTGGCTGTACCAGTGAACTTGAATCAAATTCGGAAATGCTCATAGCTGATCCGTTTTAGATAGGGAAATTCGTGCCAGCCTTTGAAATTTGACTTCGTATTGCGTTTCGAACAAAAGATCGATGTACGTTAATCGGAACTTTGTGGCTTTCGTTTCGGGTACCGGAGAACGATTTTCAGAAAGTTTCTCGATTCTCAAACCGGGATGCAGTATCGAAAAGCGGAAGTTTTCAAAGCTGTTTTCCCTTGTTTGTCCCGGATCGGTTTTCGATTTTCTTTCATCATTTTTATATGCGCGAAAGTACTACTGTAGTTTCAAGTATGTTTTTTTTAGAAGTTCTCAAGGTATACAATACGCGTGGATCGCGATTGTTTTTTTTAACGCAATACGAATATCTATCTGTGCTGCATCCATTTCTCATCGATTACTTCTTGTGCATTATTTCGCAGACGAGAACTACATGAAAATCGCTATCGACACGTTGGAGGAGCTGGATTGGGTGCTGGACCAGTTGGAGACCATGCAAACGCATCGGTCAGTAAGCGACATGGCGAGCAGCAAGGTGAGTTGTTTCATTTTCCTTTTTACCGCAGATCGACGGTCTCTGTAGGAGTTTCGTACTTGCAAACGATCCATAAACAATTCTATAATTCAATACTATCCAAGTTTCTCAGCAGTTCTGAATAATTGCACAGTACCTCCATTCAGTATGAGGCAGACATCAACCTATACATTGCTGTGTATTGATCAGAACATGTGTTGAATATGTTCCACGAGTATTTTTGGAGGTTTTTACTCAAAAAATTAAAACTTCACGGCTTTCCCCGTGACAATAATTTTCCCAGGGGACCAAAAAAATGGATTGCTATGAAAATATTGTTGTTGCCCGGAAATTATCAGCGTACTTCCTCGTCGCGTACCGATAGGAAGCGCCCCGAAATGAACATAATTTACTGTAGTTTCATGTCGGAAACTCAATAAGCGAACATAAAGAAAACGGCATATCCGGAGACGAAGCCTGCTAGAGCGCATAAAATAATTTGCTTTCGGAGATTTTGTGTGATCTTGAATAGATGTCGCGCATTTGAGGGAAGGCTA